CAGCATCCCCCTCTCAGCCCTGCAGCTGCCTGGGCAGGAGGAGCCGCCGGCTGCTGATGAGACCCTCCTGCCTGCCCTGCAGCTGGCCTCGGGTGCTGAGGCAGCCAGCTCACCCTCAGTGAGTGCCGAGCCCGAGGGCAGCTCCAGCCAGCAGCAGCCCCATGCTGCCCCCGCCGCCACCCCCGAGGCAGCGGCGCCATCCATGCCAGGTAGGATGCTGGGCAGGAGTTGAGGGGCGGCACTGTTTTGTGGGTGATCCCCCCCCGGCACGGCTCAGTGAGGGGGAGGCCAGGGAGCAGGTGCTGTGTTGCATGAGGGTGCGCTGGTCCCACCAGCTCATAAGTCAACAGATAGATAAACCATCGCCACCCTGCTTAGAAGGGGATTTGGAAGACCTCAATTGAGCACAGGCCAGAAGCACCTCCTGTGAGAAAGTGTCCCACTGTCACAGGGAGTGGTCCTAATTTTAGGTCCGTTTTGGGTGCCGTTGTGTCATGGGAGGGGGCGTGCATCTGCCTTGTGTGCAGGGAGGACATGAAACCTGGCTGTGCACTCTTTTGATGAACCGGAAAGTAGTCTCAGCCAGTGGAGCCTGGAGTTGGGGATCAACCATTGCCTTCACCCTGTCAGAAGAGTGATGTTTGACATGGAGAGGCAAAGGAAGGCACAAGGAGAGTACCTGAAGAGAGGTTTGTATTTCTATAAATCTTTATTAAACAGTTTCCCTGACCTGTAAATCAGAGAAGCCTGCAGAGATGAGAAGGACAACTACAACCTTAACTGTGAAATTGATAACACTTGAGCTTTAATCCAAAAGAAAAAAAAAGATTTTTTTCCCCTATTCTTAGTGAAAGTTCTCATATCCCATGTCCTTCATTTTTTTTTCATCTCCCACTGCTGCCAAAGCACTGAGAATTGGCACAAAGAGATCAACATTATTGGATAAAGAGCATGTTAAAACAGCATACTTCTGCCGAATTATTATCTCATGTGCAGAATAATTCAGTGTTGGCTGCAGGTCTTCTGGAGGGGGAGGAAATTGTTTCTTGAGCAGACTCACCAGCTCCCTCTGGACCTGAGTGCAGAGAGAGAGTGCTGGCTTTGCTCTTCCAGCTGGTGAGTGGTGCCATCCCAGGAGGAGGTGAGGGCAGGGGCGAGTCCTCCATCTGCTCCCTTGCTGGTTCAGCCTAGGCGTCAGAGAGAGCAGAGCCAAATAGTGGAGGGGGGAAAAGCTGCCTATATGCAGTCCCTGTGGCAGCTACTGTAAGTGCTAAAAACAATGACTTTAACAGCCTTGATGATACTTCAGCCTGGACATCCTGAAACCTGATTGGATGCTAGTAAATCTATTAACTGGCAAGAGCCTGCAGATCTTGTTGCAAAAAAAAAAAAAAAAAAACAATGGGCAAAGTTCAGTACTCAGTGTTGCTAAGTAAAACCCCACTAAGCATTAGAAATCAGAAAGGATGGCAATTGTCTTAGTTACAGCAAAGCATGTTCTTCCTTGGGACCCATTGCTGCATGGCTGCGTCTTTGAGATGTTACTTTGTAGTAGTCCTGTCATGTAACATCCCTTGTGGAAACTCCCTTACAAAACTCCATCTAGTTTAGAACTGACTCTGCTCATCTAAATATGAGAGATATGGGATTGCCTGATGTCAATCTGAATTGTGTGGTAAATTTACTTGTTCTGCATCCCTCAGTTTACAGTGTGACACCGCTGTGTATGCTAGAGCTAATTTCTACCAACCTGCCCCTGCAACTTGCTCAGTCTCAAACTTGCAGGCTGGGACAATGGTATACAAACCTGGGCGGAATCTGTCCATGTATGTGCATGTTATATGGGAGAGTGATTTACTTTCAACAGATTAATTTAAAAAACCCAAACCTTTTCAAACAGTTTTTGCCAGATCCTCAGAAGCCAAACAAGGTCAGCAGTTGTTACTGCTTGGGGTTAAACCTTACAAGAATGGACAGAGCACCACATTTTCACATTTATATAGTTTTCTGAGCATGGTTTGTCCATGTTGAGTGTCTCACTGTGAGGACAAAGTGGGATTCCATCTGCATTTACACCCACTGCGTAAATCAACCCTCAAAACCTCCTAGCACTTCTTGCATAGAGAGCAATCTTATCTCAGTGTGCTGTCCAAATTCCAGTTCAGTCAGTTATGTTCTCAATACTTAAATTTCTTGTGTTGGGTTCCTCTCCTCAGCCTGGTATAGTGGTATTGTAGTATGCTGTTATTGTACTCAGAGGTAGCTGCATTTTAACTAGGGTAAGATGATTGACATGTGACTAAAACTTGATACGTCAGTAAAGTCTCTGATTTCCATAGACCCTTCTCCTTTGGGAAAAAAGTGCTGGCATTAATAAATCTTCAAGTTGCAGAAAAGTAGGCAATGTTGGCAAGTGAATTTATTACAGATTCTTGCTGATAAAATGTGGAGGTCGTATGAAAGACTAGAGTAGAGTGATTGCCCAGGTATAGTGATTTCATTAGGTTGTCTTGTAACAAAGAGTGATGAACTGGAAGTGGTGCATGATATTTTGAGTATAAATTTGAGTAATATTGAACTACAAGAGGGTGTTTATGTATCCTATGTAAAAAAGTTTCTGTCCTAAATGGAAAGTAACAAAGATCAGTATGATTCTTATGTAAAAAAAGGCAGGAAATAATTATAATAAGGAGTCTAGAGCTTTTGTTAGCTTATAGATTTGGTGGATGCTTGACAAACAAAACAAAGGTACAGCTGAAAATTAGCAGGGAACTTAAATTCTGCCTTGTCCCCTACGAAGTGTTGCTTAATTTTAAAATAATATGTAAAGCCTTGTTCCTGGTCCTGCTAGAACTGGTTGTATGTTTATGAGGTCTTTGCAGGACTAAGGCCTTAAACGATAAGTTATGATTAAAAGGTGCAATCCAAGTAGCAAGAAATATTACTTTGAGTTTTAGCTTAAGTCACATATCCTTGCATTCCTATCAGATACAGCTGATAGTTTACATACATGGTAATCTCGTAGGTCATGAAAGCTGGAGTAAGATTCTCTGTGAAATCAAATGTCTTAATGATATATGTTAGCTTAGGCCAGTTTAAACCACATTATACTTCTGAATTGTTTCTCTTTCATTTTATTTTGTCTTTTACTCTTTGTAATTAAACGGTGGCAACTGAATGTGTAAGCAGGGCATTTACAAAGGTATTTTCGTGTCTTAAAAGTGAAGTGGCATCCCAGTGAAGATTCAGTAAGGTTAGACACTAATTTATGTTGGATTCAGGTCTAAGCATTGTGGAATATACTGAATTATTTTTGTCGAACTCCAGCTCTAATAAGTGGACGTTGAATTTTCAGGTTGTTCTTTACTGCTTTATTAGCAAAGCCTTCAAGAATGTATGTAGGTACTATTTAGTCCTTTTTTTCTTGTGGAAAAAATGAGAGGACCTACATCTGATAGGAGAGAGATTTATGCAGTGGTGGAGAGCAGGGAATTTCTGCAATTTTGACTTCCCAAACAGCCTCTTTTGTCTTTTCTTTTTGCTAATACTTGGTCTGTTTTTTATGTCCAAGGACCAGCAAGGGCTGAGTAGGTCACATCAGGGAAGATGGAAGGTGAGTAAGAAACACGATGCTTTTAGGTTGCAGTACATGCAGCCTGGAGACATTAGTGATGTTTGGATATCCAAACCCGTGAATGGAGAAGACTTGGTGTTTTCACAGAATATGGAGAAATACTATATCTCAGAAGAGCATAGCACTTATTGTGTAGGAAGGCAAGTTTTGATTCTCAGAGAGGTAGGACTGACGTTGTAAGCAAAATTGCTGAAGTATTTATGAAGAATGCTTGCTTTCCACCTGAAGACTGAGGATGGAGATGTGCTTTGGATTAACAAGACAGTGCAGCGAGACATCTCTGGTCCAACACTAGCCCAACACTATAAACACCGGAGCAAAGAGTTCCATGAGGATACACTAAAAAGACGTCAAATCCATATGTACAAGATGTGCAGAATGCAAAGAGTAGTGGGTAGAGATACAAAATAAAAAATCCTGTAAATGAAGCGACCAGGGTTGTTGCTTCTGTCCCAGATGTGGAAAATCATATTCTGTGGGTACCATTGCAATGCCATCATGCATATCCATCGCTGAGCTTCACAGGCTGCTGGATAATAATTTACATGTAAAGGTATTTGCAGAGTTTGGAAGGGAAACATGCTGTCCAGAAGCACCACTGCTTTTCTTAGTCAACGTTCCGCACACTGTGCCTCCGCTGTGGTTGTCGAATGGTATCGGCGGTCGAATGTGTGCCGTGATGGATGGCGCCCTGGCCAGTGCTAAGGGCAGTCATTAGCCTTGATGATGACTCTGCTCTGAGGTCCTCCTCATTCTTTTGTTTCCTGTAGCTGGTATGTCAGGATCCCAGATGAGCGCCTGGTCGTCATCTTAGCCTGGTGACTTGGGCAAGGGTCTAGTTTTGGTCCTGTGCTCTCCTCATGGGAAGGTGTGAGCAGGGATTGCAGCCTTTCATGACTGGCACCTAATGTGGGTTGACTCTTGCTGTGCTGTCAGTGTGGACATCCCTGTAGGTTCCAGGTGTTCATATGATGTCTCTGGCTGAACATGACTGTTATAAAATGCAGTGCATCCAGTGGTTGCTTGATGGTGATGTAGGACTTTTAGGTGGAATATTTTTAAGTATTTTTCGGCAATCAAAAGAACTAGGATCTCTCCCGTTCCCGCCCCTCCCCCTCTCTTTATAGTTGCGTGGGTTTAAATTAAGTGGGAGCTGAGATCCTTGTGTGATCCTAAGACTTATGGATTAGGAGCTGTTAGATGAGCATCAAAATGTTACAAGACTTAGAGCAGAAAGAAGTCCCCCACACCTCCTGAATTGCCAGTTTCGACTAGGTTTAGCTTAAACTCTTAAATCACTGTTTACACTGCAAGGAAAAAAATGTGTCAGCTAGCACATTTCAAAGAAGTGCAAACAAGAAAAAATAATGCCTTTTTTTTAGAGGTATATAAAACATCAGCCATACATACAGAAGGGCCAAATTAATCCCTGCTGTAATTCTTCTGAGTCCGATGGAACTGTGCAAAGAATGAACATAACACAAGGCAAATAATCATGCCAAAGGAAAGTTAAAAAACCTTATTTAAGCTCTTCCAAGAACGCTCAAAATACTGATTGGTCTGTGTATTTGTAAT